ATAATTCGTATTGATCTAATACGAATATTCAATTCGTATTCGGATAAGAATATCCAATTCGTATTGGTAATTCGTAATTCATATAGTTCCAATACGAATATCCAATACGAGTCAGTCAGTCGTCACATCTATAACTCCTTTCTCTTCTGGATCAAAAACATAGTAATATTTATGAGCCAATTACTCCATATTACGAGCCAAACAATACCTCAGTCCCCCGTATCAACAACTGAGAAAATACCTGCCTGCTATACTGCGCTCGTCTGTACACATGTATATTCAATATTAACTAACACAACACGGGAAAAAATGCAATATGTATAACTATGGGGCAGAAAGTAACTTTTCGAATTACTCCCAACAAAGGCGGGGACCAGGCGCTTTTAGACGTGTACAAATGACCCCCATTGTTGTCTTGTATTGTTATACATTTATTACAAATTAAGTGCATTTTTCGTTCATTAATTAAATCTATAAAGCTTTAGATTCGTCCTAAACAAGGACGATCAGGTGGTTCCCGTATAAACATTACGAGGCAAATCTTTCCGAAGAGATAAAGAGAGTATATTGGTGGGTATTGAATGGACTGGAGTAGATTATTACAGAGAGGCTGGAGCATGTGGACACTCTCCGGCAGAACAGCAAGGATGGCATCATAGTGACCAACACCCAGATGATCATGACCTGGAACGACCCTTACCTCACCTGGGACCCCGCCCAGTACAACCAATCCTCCTACCTCAGGGTCCATTACGACGATGTCTGGCACCCTGACATTATCCTCTATAACACGTTAGTCCCACTTGTCACCCCTCATATACCATGTACTCAATATACATACCCTGTAATGCATATATATATCATATACTCAGTATATACTGTGTACACTATGTGTATCATATATATAAATGTTCTGAACTATATATGTGCTAGACATAGCTGCTCTGATACAGATAACCGTATAGAGTAAGTGCACTTCTAGCAGTCTGCAATCAAGTAACTTGCAAGTGATGTGTAAAAACAAATAAATATATCGTTAATACTGATATTAATGGGAAGTGTTGTCCTCCCCTGGCGTGTGCAGCGCCGACACCAGCTACGAGACCTCGCTCATCCACACCAACGTGATAATCAACTTCGACGGGACGTGCAAGCTCCAGGTCCACGCAGTCTTCACCTCCGTCTGCGACATCGACATCCAGTGGTTCCCCTTCGACCAGCAGACGTGCGAGATGGTCTTTGGGTCTTGGACCTCTGACGTCGACCAGGTACGGACCTTATGGGAGCGGGGCTCTTGGACCTGCAATATCAGCCGAGACTATTAGGCAAATCTTGTAATAGGCAAATTTGAAATTGTGATGATACAGCAACCAGCTCGCCTGAGCTTAAATTAATGTTAAACAAATACAGCTACCACGGGACTACATTGCATAATTACAGTAAGATTCATAAATGTTATTTCGTCAAATTTCCTAGCTTATGCTTAGTATCTTGTGTGCAGCTATGTACACGGCCTCACAAGCGACCAGGTTCTCATCCTTGGCAGGATGAGACACATGGGCCGTTCCTTCAATCTTGTGGGCGGTGTCCTTAGAGAAAGTATGTTGCTAAATGAACTAACTGATCCAGGGGCCAGATTCACGAAGCAGTTACACAGGCACTCACGAACCTGAACATTTTTTCTCAATCTTTGGCGGCTTTGTTTACAATTATTAAACAGTTAATGAGCTCCGAAGCACCAGGAAGCTATTTATAACAATAACAACAGTTTATTGGAAAGTTTCATGCTTGTAAATTGTTTAATAAATGTAACCAAAGCCGTCTAAGATTGAGGAAAGATGTACACGTTCGTAAGTGCTTGCGTACTACTTAGAACTTTACTGAAGGCCTTAGATCCCACCAGACTATACCGTCGATACGTAAATAAGTGTTTCATCCACAGTACTATAACATCGTTCTCCCCAGTACAGATACCTTCCAAGATCTAAGTAGGGTAGACAGGTGTTACAAGTGTCTGTATGAACAGATACTCATTTCAGATACTCATGAACTCATTTAGCATGCATGTAGTTTTACTTGAATAAATTGTTATTATTATAATATCCCCGTGGCACAGTGGCAAAACACTCGCCCGGCGCTTCGCGAGCGCTTTGGCCTGGGTTCGTATCCTGGCCGGGAAGGATTGACCGGGCGCCAATCCTTAACTATAGCCTCTGTTCACCCAGCAGTGAATGGGTAACTGGTTGTTAAACGATTTGGCGGGTCGTATTCCAAGGAACAATTAGGCTAAAGGACCTGCCCGAAACGCTATGCGTGCTAGTGACTGTACAAGAATGTAAGAACTCTTGTATATATAAATAAATATAAATAATTTATTGTTATTATTATAGATGAAGCTGGAGATGGGCAACACCGACATCACTCGCTTCAAACCCAACCACGAGTTCTTCCTTGAGAACTTCTACGCCGAGAGCAAGGAACTTTTGAACCCTTGCTGTGAGCGGCCCTTCTCCAGTGAGTTCCTTACCCGATGGCCTAGGTGGAGGCCATGCGGTCACCCACACAGTTACTAACCACACCCTACGGGTTATATCACTCTGCCCCCCCCCCCCCCACCCTCCTTCCCCATCTTTCCTCTTGTTTAAATTGAATATAGACATCTTTAAGATATCGACGGGGGGAGACATCTCCCGTCGCGCAGGGTGCAGTCGCACCTCCACAGATCTCCAGTATCAGCTCTTGATACTGGTAATGGCTCTAAAGGGCCACCACTTACGGGCTATTCATGCCCGTGCCACCTTTTGGGTGGCTTAATCTTCATCACTCATCATCACTTTAAGATATCATTATACTGGTATTTTGGGTGGCGCCACATAATTGGTATCTAGGTTAGTAAGTTCCTTCTTAACAGAGGAACATATCTTAAACAATGAGACAATTGTGCATGTCTCATCTATATGTATACAGCCTATTCAGATATTATAAGTTGCATTCCATATGTGCTTGATCCATTCCATATGCAGGACCCCTTCAAAAATTAAATGGTTCATTCCATTCGCAACCGACCTGTTCCTTTTGTACATGATCCATTCCATCTACACTGAACTCCATAGACTTAAAATGTACATAACCAGTTGCACGTGTTCAAAACCCGATCCATTTGAACATTACCAACGCTTTTTCGTACATGACCCATTTAACCTTTATAAGTTCTATTGTGTTCGAAAATTACCTATTAAGCCCTTAAACAACCCATTTCATACCTGCATGACATTCCTTTGTACAAAACATATTCCATTCTAGTACTGTCTATTCCGTCCTTGTATGACTCACTTCGTACACGACCCATTCCATCTGAACAGTTCCCGCCAACTACGTGATTCCCGGTGCTTTTTAATTCTCCCGTGTAAAACAGTTTTAACAATTTTTCTTATTTGCTCGGCCCCTCAACTCTCAATCACTTCTCTCTCAAAAAAAGAGCTCCCGTCTCCTCAGCATCCTCTCACTGTCCTCTCCTCAGCATCCTCTCACTGCCGTCTCCTCAGCATCCTCTCACTGTCCTCTCCTCAGCATCCTCTCACTGTCCTCTCCTCAGCATCCTCTCACTGTCCTCTCCTCAGCATCCTCTCACTGTCCTCTCCTCAGCATCCTCTCACTGTCCTCTCCTCAGCATCCTCTCACTGTCCTCTCCTCAGCATCCTCTCACTGTCCTCTCCTCAGCATCCTCTCACTGCCGTCTCCTCAGCATCCTCCCACTGCCGTCTCCTCAGCATCCTCTCACTGTCCTCTCCTCAGCATCCTCCCACTGCCGTCTCCTCAGCATCCTCTCACTGTCCTCTCCTCAGCATCCTCTCACTGCCGTCTCCTCAGCATCCTCCCACTGCCGTCTCCTCAGCATCCTCTCACTGCCGTCTCCTCAGCATCCTCCCACTGCCGTCTCCTCAGCATCCTCTCACTGCCGTCTCCTCAGCATCCTCCCACTGCCGTCTCCTCAGCATCCTCCCACTGACCTCTCACCACGTCTCTTCCCTCAGTGATCGTCTACTACATTCAGCTACAAAGAAGGGTCAAGTTCGCGCTGTTCTTCTTCATTATCCCCGGAGTCCTGATCAACGTGTGTGGTGAGTAGGGTGAGAGTGAAGGCTATGGTAGCGAGGGGACAACAAATAACACCTCTTCATCTACACTAATAACATCTGAAAAAAATATAAAAAACTCGCCTAAATTCATTTCTGAGGACAAGATATTAGTATAGAAAATGGCAATGCGCTCGTTCCCCTTCACACTGCCCGCGAAGTAATAGGGCAGGCACGACAGCATCGAAGTAGTTTGTATACTCATTTTTTTTCTCATCTCATTTTTTCTTTGCAATGTATCTGTTATCATTTTATTAACTCTGCTAGAATTTACCTACTTAAATTTATCTGTTAGATTAAGGACCTGCCCGAAACGCTGCGCGTACTAGTGGCTTTACAAGATTGTAAACTATGCTATGTATTCTCACAAACCAATGTACCTTCTTGTATATAAATAAGTAAATAAATAACTTGTGATAGGAGTAGCAGCGCCAAAACGTTAGGTCCGCCACAACACCCACCTTCAACTGCTACAGACTATTGATTAGTGTGAGAATCAACATTTCATGTACCCGGTCCCACGGGCACTCGAACCTTGACCTCTTTCGTGGCACACCGGCCATTCACCGCCGGAAAGTAACATTCATAATGAGTCAGAAGGTGGCCACAATTTCAACTCAATCTGTTTGTTTAACTTTTCCTGGTAGCCAATACGGAAGCCAGTACATTCATATCAAAATATAAACCATATTTTACATTTTATAACATGAATGTTTAGTCATTTATCATAGCAATAAACATGTTAGTTTTCATTCACAATGCAAAAATAAATGCACACATGTTAAAATGAATGTAAATATGAATGGACAAGAAAAAATATGGAACAAAATGTAGAATAGTTAAAATAATGGTAATGTTGACATATTGACCTGTTGATGTGCTCCTCCCGATAGCTCTGCTGGTGTTCGCTCTGCCGGCGGAGTCTGGCGAGAAGATCAGCATGGGCGTCAACTCCATGCTGGCCATGATGGTGTTCCTTATGGCCATGATTGACAACCTCCCGCCCTCGGAGAAGCTGCCCCTCGCAGGTGAGCTCATTCTCATATTTACCGTAGCACAGTATACTTGTCTTAGTGTATTACACAACCACCTATTCCAGTGCCATTAATAGTGTGTATTAAAGGGTGAGAGGCTGTGGTGGTGGTACAAGATGAGGCACATCATGTGATGGTGTAGGCCTGCTGTATCACCACAGTGTGGAACATCACCTGCTGTAATGTTCCAAGTCTAGTGAAGTGTCCTCTAATACTGTTGTTGTGTCACCCGCGTCAGCGACCTCTGTGGGCAACCGCCGTCAGTGTTGTGTCGTGTAGTGCCCTCGCTAGAAGGTCTACCCACGGCAGCGCACACGGTGTAGCGCCATCTGAAGGACGCCTCATGTAGTGTCACCTGCTGTACACACACTTTAGTCTCGGTGTAATATCATCAGCTGTAGTGCAAACTGCAACTGTATAATTGTATTAGCTTGAGAGTATGTTAAGATCCGGTGTGTGAGTGGAGGAGATACAGTAGGTTAACGTGTTGACGCGTAGCCTCGCTCCCCAGGTGTGTACTACGGCGGGTGTCTGGTGGTGGTCACTATGAACATCAGCTTCTCCGTGTACGTGCTCAGCCTCTCTCATGCTGGTGAGAGAGATCACCAAGTGCCTCCCTGGCTCAGGTCGGTGCTCTCTTAAGTCAACCCACCTTACTGCCATACTGACACACCTCGCCATATTCATTACCACCTTCAGTTAGGTAACGTCGCTGATTTGCTAAATCAACTGATAGTTGTTTTTTATGGTTAGGTACAGTGCCTAGTCAGTGCCACTTTTAGATCATAATTGGGTAGGGTCAAGATCACTTTAGATCAGGACATGTGAGTGTCACGCTAAACAACTTGAGGTCAGTTGAAACATTCTAATTTTGAGTGGCCAAATAAGGGAGACCCGTTTAGTGCCTTGTTAGGTTACATAATGAGCTAATTTGTCACATTTCTTATACAATGTATTATTTATACCTTCTTACAATGCATCTTTATACTTTCTTACAATGTACCTGTAAACATTTTCAAATTTTGCTAGAAATTACCTTCTTAAAATTATGTGTTAGGTTAAGGATCTGCCCGAAACGCTATGCCTGCTAGTGGCTTTACAACAATCTATAACTTCAATGCTCTGTATTCTCATAAACCCAATGTACCTTCTTGTGTATAAATAAATAAATAAATTAGGTCAGACGAGGCCTAGTCACTGCTACACTTCGCCAGATAAAGAGCCAAGAAAGGCCAAGCTAGGTCAGATTAAAACATGTTAATGCCACCTTAAGTTAGGTTAAAGTCAGATCAGTGTCATATTAGGTCAGGTAGTACCAGAACAATGTCACGTTAAATTAGGCGAGGCCAAGACACTTCCACCTTGTGTCAGATGAGCGGACAGCTTATATACAAATCATAAGAAAAACTAAGTCAATGTCATATTGGGTAGGATCGCCTGAAATCAGATTATGAAACGTTTGACAAGTTAAATGACAAGAAATTGTTATGGTAGATCAGGCGAGGTCAAGCTTGATCCGTAGTCAAGCTTGAGCCTAAACTATCTGGCACTGGCACAGTCCCAACAGCTTCTATATACTTTCATCTCGAGCCAACGCAACGTGACCAAGCTGTCACGTTAGGTTGGCGCCCATCTAAGAGTTAGGCGAGTGGAGACTTGATACGTATTAAAGCACAAGTAAAACATTGTAACATGTGCTTGGACACGTTCCCGTAAACCTTATGCCTCTGTTCACCTAGCAGTAAATAGGTAGCCGGGAGAGAGGCAAGTGTTGTGGAGTACATCCATGGAAAATTTATTAGATGACCTAGAGCAGGGGGTGGGGGGAGCCCGCTGCCTTTCATGGTACTCAGTGCGGCCGTTGAAAGCAATCTAAATTAACGAAACTTGATTTGTAAACGGGGTGAGAATAGCTTGAGCTACCTCAACCCTTTGTGTGTATTTTACCTCAATAAATTTATTTCAATTTCAATTTCATTTTCAATTGATTTGTAGGTATTTTGTGGCATTTGAATGTATACAAAGCACATGTGCGCCCTTAAGAAATCCTGGCTCACTAAAATATGGTTTCCCTAGGTATAAGGGTCCTCTGATAGGTTAGGTGGGCAGGAAATTCTCATAAAGTTTCAAAACGTTACGAAAAACGTTAATTGAAAGTCATCTATTCTAACCTTATAGAGTCGGCCGGACGACTCAAACAGAAAACGGAACAGTACGTCACGTTTGTGAGTCGATTTCATTTCTAATTACGTCCAAATTTGGCCATAGCGCGCATACGAGCCAAAAGTGACGTTATTTTTAAGAGGACGGGTTGGTCCCAAACCCTAGCTACCTCATCCCTTTGTGTGTATTTTACCTCAATAAACTTATTTCAATTTCAACCCCTGGCCTGGGCTCTATACCTGAAGAGATTTCCATATACAGTATTCAATAGACTTTTTCCCCCCAACAATGACTAACCATATAAATCTGTCATGGTAATGATCTAGTCATCAAAGTTACTGGGGACTATTAGCATTAGAACAATTTCCTATAAGTTATCGCTGCCTGTAACTATGGTGAGTGTTGTGTAACAAGCCGTAACCACCGTGCACAGGTCGGCTACGGTGATGTGCTCGCGGATAGTGAGGATGAGAGTGCCCACAGTTGTTGTGAAGGCCTGGCACCTGGACGCGGTGAGTAGTGCACACACTATACCTGCATGAATGGCTGCTCTTATTGACCACCACATCATCCACAATATCACGTGTTAACATCAATTAAGTGAAAGCGAGGAGAGCACTTGAGTGCGTGCGTGTGTGTGTGTACTCACCATAACTAGGTGAGTACACATCATTTGGGAGATGAAATGCTTCAAGAGTCAGAGAGAAAGAAAGACCTAGGGGGTTGATATCACGCCAGACCTGTCCCCTGAAGTTCATATCAAGAGGATAACATCAGCGGCATATGCCAGAGTGTGTGTGTGTGTGTGTGTTGGATGGACATCTAGTCCATGAATAAGCCTACTTGGTGGGGGTTGTTCTTCACACCCCTGTAGTGCCGTGTCATGCCTGCTCCTAGCGTGGTGTAGGAGAGCAGCTTTCACCGCCTCTCCCTTATCTAGCGCACTGCAACAATTTATAACTCACAACAACAATAATAATAATAATAATAATTAATAATAATAATAATATATAAAACATAAACTGTAGATTTAAATGGTTTGAATGACGAATTAAAATGAGTTTACGTTTGGTGTGCATGTCATCAAGTTGCATGTCTCTTGTAACTGGCATTTGTCACATTCTAACTCTTGCTTGGGCTGGCAGCAGAACCTTAAGGCCAAGAAGGATAGCGTGCAACCCCACAGCAGCGGCGGCGACGATAGCGACGACGACACCTTGACAGAGAACACAATGCAAGTTCGCGTCATCAAGCTCAAACCTAACTACTGTGCGGAGGGCGCGGACATGCTCAAGGGCAAGACCATTAAATTTTACTCCTCAAACTCTTCATTTTATCCCCCTCCCACAAGCTTTCCATATATGAAAATATATATTTGTCAATGAGCATTGATTTGAATGTGGTTTAATAAGACATATGCCATCTATAGTGGAGGTTTGACACTAATTCCTATTGGTGTATCTTGCAGACCCTTACCAGCGGAGGTCCCTGCAAGCCTTGGAAGGGATCCAACACCTTCTCTCCAAGGAAGCATCCGTGCATAGGTCACACACGAAGAAATCTTCACTGATGCAAGAGTGGAAGTACATCTCACGGGCAATGGACCGTCTGCTCTTCTACATCTTCTGCGGTGGAACCCTCCTCTTCAATGCCATCATTCTCTCCCAATCCCCCTTTGGGGTAAAGTTCGAGTACTGTTCCCGGGGAGCGGGCATGTGTACGGAGAGTGGCAGCTCCCAGCCTGCTGAACCTCAACCACATTTATAAGCCCCTTGGCCACTTCGAAGAACTCGCCCGGTAGCCCTAACTTCTAGAAATGATGGACTCCATTCACGAAACAAGAGATCGATCAATGGATGTTGTAATCATGTATCACTCTACATAAGAATTTTTTGGTGCATGAACACCTTTTTTTTTTACAAGCCTGGGATACTAATCTATAGTACTGTATGTAAAGTAACATCAAAAATTCTTACCATGGTGGCCACGCCATTCATGAGCTAACTTGAGGTGTGACCTAACCAGCAGCTCATACTCGAGGGAAGTGGTAAACAATGCCCACTTGCCTTCAAACTTATCATACGGTAACTAGCATTGCTAGTAACTTGCAATATATATATATATATATATATATATATATATATATATATATATATATATATATATATATATATATATATATATATATATATATATATATATGGCACAACTCTCCTAAACACGAGAGTGAAGTATACAACTTTAGAACACTTTCCCACCAGGAGACTCGAACCCTAGCCAGCACAGAAGCCTTCCAGCAACTGGCATAACAGGTACGCCTTAACCCGCTCCACCACTTGCTCAGACTCCATGTCTGAGCAGGTGGTGGAGCGGGTTAAGGCGTACCTGTTATGCCAGTTGCTGGAAGGCTTCTGTGCTGGCTAGGGTTCGAGTCTCCTGGTGGGAAAGTGTTCTAAAGTTATATATATATATATATATATATATATATATATATATATATATATATATATATATATATATATATATATATATATATATATATATATATATATATCCATAGGCATACCCAGGTTTGTATTCCCCAGCAACTTTTGACAGGTGGAAAATGGAGGAAAGGGGCCTGAAAGATATTGTTGATAGGAACGTTATCCCTACAGACAAAAATCAGAAAATATAATTGATAATTCATTATAAAACCAAAAAAACAGCCAATCTACTCATGAAAAACTCGCCAGACACCAAGCAGAACGCTTTGAAGGAGACCAACGTCGTCTATGCCTTTAAATGCCCACTTGGGGACTGTAAGCCCCAAAGAACTCAGTATATAGGCAAGACAACAACCTCTCTTTCTAGGCGACTAACAATACATAAGCAACAGGGAGCCATCAAGGAACGGCGATAGCAGGCGGCTAGAGGCACTACACATCAAAAAGTCAATACCAGCAATCAACAGCCAATTAATGCACAACTATATTCTACCTACTTCAAGACCCCGAACCAATATGGAAGCAGCAAGAGGAAGTATGGGCCAATAGGCCTTCTGCAGTTACTTCCATTCATATGTTCACTTATCCAATTTATACCCATTGTTTCGTGTTCTGTCTCGTGTTTGCCACCTCACCCAAAACTTTTGTACCATATCACCTCATCCAATAGAGTATAAGTACGAAGAATTTGTGTGTAAATTAAGTCTTTAAAAATGTAATACGAATTACGAAACGCGTTCAGGCGTCAGACAATTAAAAAATGAATTTTGGAGAATTGTTATTTTTATTACCACCGTCAGTGAAGAAAAACATAAGAAATATTGAGAAGATTCGTGTTAGAATTATTAATCTTACCTTTTCGGTCATATTCAACAACATATGTTTACAAGAAAGACTGCTACCAAAATATACTAATATAAAAACGCACGACCCAGCAGCAAGAAACCTAGACTCCACGATAAAATATCGCCAAGATTTGATTCGACATTAGATACTTAAGGCAGAGAATGAGATCAAAGACAACAAAACGCAACTACTCCACGCTACAAACCAATGGAGAAACAACAACATCAACGAAGACCTCCGTACTCGCATCGACCAACACCTCCACATCCTCACAGATCGACATCACCACAGCACCGAAACCTGGATCAAGAAACTGACAACATTATTTGGAGGACCTATGGCGATTTCACGACCCACAGATGGCTTCTTAAACCTTGCTGGAATCAACCTCACTGAGAACCAAATTACTCTCTTGAATCTGGGTATAAACTGTCACGTTATGTCCAAACCAAGTGAGATGGCCCGGAAAGTGGAGTTGGAGATCCTATTGGACGATATATTCTACCTTGAGAAGCAAAAGAAGGTGACCACTAAAGAAACCTTGTAAGCAGAACTTATTGCGGAAGGAGGAAAGAATCGAGGCAACTACAGAAGCACCATACTGTCCCCCGAGCTCAAAGCGGCAGCTAAGAGCCTTCGTGAGAACAAGGAGATTGTCGTCAGAAGAGGTGACAAGTCGCCAATATGTCATTCTTAAAAAAAGACGAATATCTGGCGAAAACGAACCTCATTCTCTCTGACCAAACTAAATTCCAAAGGGTAACGAAGGACACTACAGCCGAATTGAAAGCAAAGGTCAAAAAATTGATCGAAACTGTGAACGCCAAGAAATCCGGACTCCACCTGCCAAAGATTATTGGGGAATATAAACCTGGATACGCGTATGGAAATGTCAAGACACTAAGCCTGGGAACCCACTTCGGCCAATCATCAGCCAGATACCCACACCCACGTATAGACTGGCAAAGCGACTCAACGGCTTGCTGACTCCTTATGTCCCTTGCGCCTTCAGCTTGAAGTCTCCAAAGGAATTTGTTGACTTAGTGCGGGGAACACGGGCCACAGGGATAAGAGCCTCATTGGACGTAGAATCACTTTTTACCAACGTACCTATGGATGAAACAATCGGGATGATAGCGGACAGAGTGTATCGTGATCCGGCCTGTACTCCTCTTGACATACCAGAAAACATTCTAAGGAAACTACTCCAAGCTTGTACTAAAGAGGCACCCTTCTTGAGCCCAGATGGGCACACGTTTAAGCAAGTAGATGGGGTCGCCATGGGTTCTCCCCTAGGTGTCCTGTTTGCGAACTTCTACATGGGTACCATCGAGCAAAAGGTCTTAGTCGACATGAACTTAAAACCGGCCATATACTGCAGGTATGTTGACGACATTTTTACACAGGTACCTAATGTCAGACATCTGCAGGAGCTGAAGGAGGCATTTGAGCAGAATTCTGTGTTGCGTTTTACTTACGAAATGGAGAAGGATGGAAAGCTGCCCTTTCTAGATGTAACAGTCATGGAAAGGAGCAGAGGTTTCCACACTGCAGTCTACACTAAGGAAACAAACATAGGAATGTGTCTAAAGCCAACAGTGACTGCCCAGACAGGTACAAGAGGAGTGTTGTTAACGCTTATGTCGACCGTGCTCTCAGTCACAGCTCAGGATGGAAGCAAGTTGATGAAGAACTCTGTAGGGTAAGGCAGGTCCAAGTCAACAACGGCTTCTCCAATGGTTTCGTTGAAGACATCATAAGAAGGAAGGTGAAACGCCATGCAACCTCTGAAGAGACAACTAACACAACACCTATACCCCCTATTAGACTATTTTACAGGAACTTCTTTTCCACAGCTCATAAAACAGAGGAAAGGGTCCTGAAAGATATTGTTAATAGAAACGTTATCCCTACAGACAAAAATCAGAAGATACAACTGACGATTTACTATAAAACCAAAAAAACGGCCAGCCTACTCATGAGAAACTCTCCAGACACAAAGCAGAACGCTTTAAAAGAGACCAACGTCGTCTATGCCTTCAAATGCCCACCTGGGGACTGTAAGCCTCAAAGAACTCAGTAAATAGGCAAGACAACAACATCTCTTTCCAGGCGATTAACGATGCATAAGCAACAGGGTTCCATTAAGGAACATATAATCTCTTCCCACAACCAGACCATCACCAGAGAAATCTTAGCAAACAACACAGAAATCATCGATAGATACAGCGATACCAGGCGGCTTGACATCTGCGAGGCACTACACATCAGGAAGTCAACACCAGCAATCAACAGCCAATTAATGCACAACTATATTCTACCCACTTCAAGACTCCGCTCCAATATAGAAGCATCAAGAAATATGGGCCAATAGGCCCTCTGCAGTTACTTCCATTCTTACCTTCAATTTACCCAATTAATACCCATTGTTTCGTGTTCTGTCCTGTGTTGAAAGTTTTGTTCACCTCATCCAAAGCTGTTGTAACATATCGCCTCACCCAAAATGCGGGTATAAAATAAAATGAAAGCTGTATAAATCATAGCAAAGTAAGAACTCTGTTTAGTGATTGCAGGTTATAGTTGTGTGTGTGTAAGTAAGTAATTATCAAAAGAAGGCACCAAACCGGGAAGGCTATGTAGCACCATCAAATGCGCAAAATAATCAGAGGGCGCTAAATATCACCAAGGATGCCAATACGAGAACAAAAACGCATAAGGCGAACGATATCAAAGGTATCCGAGTCACCAAGAATTCTATCGAGGGACAGGTGACCGCGAGGGGCGGTCGGAAAGCAAGACACACGCTCGTCCTGGAAGTCAGGACATTCAAGAAGGACATGCACGACCGTAAGAGGGACAATGCAACTAGGACCATAAGGAGCAGGGCTGCGCTCCATCAAGTGACCATGGGTTAAGCGAGTATGGCCAATACGCAACCTAGCCAGAGCTGTTTCCCACCGCCGGTTACGGTGGAAGGAGGACGGCCACGAGGAAACACAACATTTAAGAGTACGTAGCTTGTTACCAGTAACAGACAACCAAGAAGCCTGCCAACGGGTAAGGACTGAGGAATGGATAACCGGGTAAAAGTCGGAATACGGAATGCCTTTACGAGAGAAGGGACAAGAGCGGACAGCTTCCTTGGCGGCAGCATCCGCACGCTCATTTAAAGACACACCAATATGGCTGGGAACCCAACAAAACTCAACCGACTTAAATTTACTGTGAACAAGAAACAGCCAATGCTGGATCTCGACAACTACTGGATGAACCGGATTAAAGGACCCGAGAGCTATGAGGGCACTACGAGAGTCAACAACAACTACAAAGGAAGACTGACAACGAGAAAGCAGGAGACGAAGAGCATAAAGAATAGCATAAAGTTCCGCTGTAAAGATGCTAGTCTCCGGAGGTAAGCGACACACATAAGTGCGA